TGAGAATGGGAGGGTTTCCTCAAATGCTTCTTTTGATTGCTTGTTATTGGTGTATAGAAGGGCTGCTGATTTTTCTAGGTTGATTTTGTATCCTGCCACTTTACTGAAAGTATTAATCAATTCTAACAGTTTTCTAATGGAATTTTTGTGATCACTTATGTATAATATATCATCTGCAAATAGGGATAATTTGACTTCTTTTCCAATGGGTACTCCTTTAATTTCCTTCTCTTGTCTTATTGCTCTTGCAAAAGTTTCAAGCACTATATCAAAAAGGAGTGGAGATAGTGGAAAACTCTGTCTGATTCCTGATTTTAATGGGAATGCTTCCAGTTTTTCTCCATTTAGGATGATGTTGGCTATGGGTTTGTTGTTGTATATAGCTTTAATTAGTTTGCAGTGTGTTCCCTCCAGACCAATTCCCTCTAGGGCTTTTAACATTAATACATGTTTGATTTTGTCAAATGTTTTTTCTGCTTCTATTGAGATGAACATGAGGTTTTTTTTAAAGTCCATTTATGTGATTTATTACATTTTTTGACTTATGTGTGTTGAACCATTCCTGCATCTCTAGCATAAAGCCAACTTGATTGTGGTGGGTGATCCTTTTGATGTATGTCTGTATGCGGTGTGAAAGTATTTTGTACATCTATGTTCATTAAGGATATGGGTCTATAGCTTTCTTTTTTGTTGTATCCGTACCTGGTTTTGGTAGTAGAGTGATACTGGCTTCATAGGAGTTTGGGAGTTCTTCTGTTTCTATTTTTTTTGAATAATTTAAGCAGTGTTGGTTGTAGATTTTCTTTGACTGATAGAATTCTGCTGTGAATCCATCTGAGCCTGGGCTTTTATTTAGTCGAGAGGTTTTTGTATTACTCTTTCAATTTCCTTATTTGTTATGGGTCTGTTTAGGCCATTGATCTCCTCTTGGTTTAACATTGGTGGTGGCCATGGTTTTAGAAATTCATCAATCTTTTTTAGGTTTTCAAATTTAATGGAGTATAGATTTTTAAAGTATTCCCTTACAATGTTTTGGATTTGTGTGTGTGTGTGTGTGTGTGTGTGTGTGTGTGTGTGTGTGTGGTGTCTGTTGTGACATTTCCCCTTTGTCTCGGATTTTGTTGATTTGGATCTGATATTTCTTTTTTCTTTTTCTTTTTCTTTTTTTAATTGAGCTAAGGGTCTATCTTGTTTAACCTTTCAAAAAATTGGCTCTTAGATGCATTGATCTTTGTATTTTTTCTTGTTTTTATTTCACTAATTTCTGCTCTGAGTTTTGTTATTTCTTCTCATCTACTAGGTTTGGAGTTGGTTTGTTCTTGCCTTTCCAGAGTCTTGCATTGCACTGTCAAGTCGTTTACATGTGCTCTTTCTGATATTTTATTGTAGGCACTAAGAGCTATAAACTTCCCTCTTAGGACTGCTTTTAGGATGACCCAGAGGTTTTGTCGTGTTGTGTTTTCATTTTCATTTTGCTCCAGGAATACTTTTATTTCTTTTTAATTTCTTCTTCAACCCATTCATGATTCAGGAATGCTTTGTTTAATCTCCATGAGTTGGTGTATTTACTAGAGCTACTTTTGCTGTTGATTATAAGCTTTATTGCACTGCATTGTGGTCTGATAGAAGGCATGGAATTATTTCAATTTTTTGTATTTGTTGAGATTTGTTTTGTGCCCCAGAATGTGGTCAATTTTAGAATAACTTCCATGAACTGCTGAGTAGAAAGTGTATTCTTTGGTGATCGGGTAGAATATTCTTTATATATCTGTTAGGCCCATTTCATGTAATATGTCATTTAATTCAGATGTCTTTCTGTTTATTCTCTGTCCAGTAGACCTATCTATTGAAGACAATGGGGTGTTAGAGTTGCCCACTATCACTGAGTTGGTGTCAGTCTCTGTTTAATATCATTTATCTAAAGATAAATATCTGATTTATAAATTATCTGATTTAATGGAATTGGATCCTCCAGTGTTTAGTGCATAAATGTTCATGATTGTAACATCTTCTCGTGTCATTGTTCCTTTGATTAGAATGAAGTAACCTTTCTTATCTCTTCTGGTGAGTTTTAATTTGAAGTCTATTTTGTCAGATATTAAAATTGTGACACCTGCTTGCTTCTTAGGGCCATTTGCTTGTAATGTTTTTCCATCCTTTCACCCTAAGATAGTGTCTATCCTTGAAGGTGAGATGAGTTTCTTGAAGACAACAAAAAGATGGGTTTTCTAAGATGGGTTTTCTTTCTTGAGCCATTGTACCAGCCTGTGTTTTTGACAAGGGAGTTGAGGCCATTGATATTTAGTCTTATTGTTGAAAAGTGTGTATTGTGTACTGTCATTTTAATTTCTTTGTGTTTGTGGCCTTATTTTCTGTTTCTGTTGTTATAACTTTCTTTACTTTCTGTATCATCTTGGGATACTCATTCCTTTCTTTGGTACTTTGTATTGTGTCAAGTATTCTCCATAGTGCTGGTTTGGAAAACAAGAATTCTTTCACCTATTTGTGTCATGGAAAATTTTCTGTTCCCCTTCGATCTTGATAGATAGTTTTGCTGGATAAAGTTTTTGAGGTTGGTATCCATGGTTGTTTAGAACTGGGAATAGTTTGTTCCAGGCTTTTCTGGCTTTCATAGTTTGCATTGAAAAGTAGCTGTAATTCTGATGGGTTTTCCTTTATATGTAACTTGTTTATCTCCAGCAGCTTTCAGAACTGTCTTTGTTCTGTATGTTTAATGGTTTTACTATGATATACCATGGGGGTTTTCTGTTCTGATCATACCTTAATGGTATTCTCTGTCCTTCTTGAATCTCTATTGGTATATTTTTCCTTCATTTAGGAACGTTTTCTTTTGTAATCTTATGGAAGATCTGTTCTATGCCATTGGCTTGAGTTTCTTCTCCTTCCTGTATGTCTACAATACTTAGATTTGATCATTTCATGTTGTCCCACATTTCCTGAGTATTCTATTCCTGTGTTTTTTTGAATTTTGCATAGTCTTTGCTTAAGGAGTCCAGATCTTCAACTTTATCCTCCAGTCTTGAGATTCTGTTTTCCATTTCATTCATTCTGCTTGTGAGACTTGCTCTTGCTGTTTCTAATTGTTTTATTGAGTTTTTCAGTCCTATGCTAATTTTTATTTGGGTTTTCTTCACTATTTCTATCTCTTTAGTGAATTTGCTTTTCAGCTATGAATTGTTTTTGATATTTCATTAAGCCCCATATTTGTATATTCTTGGGCTTCTGTCAAAAGTTTATACCTTTCCTCTGAGTTCTTTGAGTTGTTTGTGTTTTCTTGAAGTTCATTGATCATGTTTATGACTGTTTTTTTTTTTTAAATTCTGCATCCTGGGGTTCTATAGGGTGGTTCTTGATGCTGTCCACTTCTATAGGACTTGTAGGTTTCATTGGGGACATATTTTCCTGGTTTTTCATATTGTTTGTGGTTTTGTGTTGCTGTTTGGGCATACGGATATTCTTTGTTGGCGTAGTTTTTACTGATGTTGATATCCAGTGCGGTCAGATAGAATGCAGGATGATATGTCAATTTTCCTGTATTTAGTGAGACTTGCTTGGTGACCTTAAATGTGATCAATTATGGAGAAAGTTCAATGGGCTGCTGAGAAGACTGTGCATTCATTAATTCTTGGGTGGAATGTTATTGAGATGTATTTAGGTCCATTTGACTTATGGTGTCATTTAACTCTAACTTTTATCGCTTAACTTTTGTGTGGATGACCTGTTTGTTGGTGAGCGTGGAGTACTGAAGTTACCCACTGTTATTGTGTTGGTATTAACCTGTGGCTTTACATTTAGTACTTTAAGAAGTTCTTTAAGAAGTCGAGTGTGCCAATATTTGGTTCATATATGCTCAGAATTGTAATATCAACTTGATGGATTGTTCCCTTGATGAATATGAGGTACCTTCTTTATCTTTTATTTTTAGTTCAAAGTACATTTGATCAAATATTAAAATAGCTAAGTCTGCTTCTTTCTAAGTTTTATTTGCTTAGAATAACCTTTTCATCCTTTGACTTTTAAGGTGGTATATATCTTTGATGGTGAGATGTGTTTTCTGAGGAGGAAAATGACAGAAACATTTTTTTGCTTTTGTTTTTTAATTGAATTTTTGGAGAATTTCATACATAACTGTAATGTATTCATATGATTTTCACCCTATTTAGTATTGCTCATGTGTACATGTGTTTAGAGCCGACAACTGGGATTGGATAACACACCAAGTGTTTGGGCCCTGGAGAAAACGGATTCTCCTTCCCTCAGCATCTATTGGTTGCTTATTGCTTTTCATCTAGAATTGACATTTCCCCCATTGACACTGGTTCACTGTTGTGGTCATTATTCAGATATTATTTACACAACCGCACTGTTGAGATTTCATGGGTGCAGCATCCCTGTCACATCTAGAGATACTGTCTTGCAACAGGCGTCCTCTTCCTCTGGTTCTTCCAATGAAATTGCATTATTATCACTATAAAATATTTAACTTATGTTAAATATTTGATATTAGATTTTAATTTAATTCCTTAATGACTTGCAAAATACTCCTGACAAATTCCATTCAAAAGTTGTCCAGGAAGGATGGGATTTAATTCAAATGTAGAATATAAATTAGCATGAATGAATTCCTAGGTTCCATACCCAACACCCGAAGAAAAATTTACTATTAGTATAGACACAAAGAACATATGACCACGTTGCATACAAAGACACAGGACAATCTAGAGGGATTTTTATCGTGCCTGGGAAGATTCACAGTGCAATTTGTCTGAGAACACTGGAAGTTTTTGCTGCTGAAGTCATACAAGAGATTTTTTAATGCTGAGATCACTCTGCCTTTGACCTGGTATCTCATTCCTAAGTAAAGCTTGCAACAGGATGATTTTGCTGGTTGATAATTTTAGATTATTAAATTGATGCTGTGCAGAACCCATAGTGTATTTTCTGGAAAGACTGTGCCACAGGGTGTTGGCTCCTTACTGCTAGAATTTTCCAGGAACATCTCCCACTTGTAATCTCTGAGAAGATGCAAATCTCCCTAGTACTTTTCTTAGAGCTGCAGTCACATCTCTGTTCCTCAAGCTGTAGATGAGCGGGTTCAACATGGGGGTGAGAATGGTGTAGAAGGCAGACACAACCTTGTCTTTCTCTGGTGTGTGGTAGGAATGGGGCAGTACATTAGTATAGAAGGCTGCCCCATAGAAGATGCTCACCACCATAATGTGAGAGGAACAGGTGGCAAAGGCTTTGCACTGGCCCTCAGCAGAGCTCATGTGGTGGACGGTGATGAGGATGCGCGTATAGGAGACTGAGATGAAGGATATTGGGATGAGCAGCATCAGCACACAGCAAGCATACATCAAGGTTTCATAGAGTGATGTGTCTGTGCAGGACAGCTTCAACACAGCTGGGATTTCACAGAAAAAGTGATTGATCTCTCAAGACCCACAGTAGGGAAAGCTCATAGTTACAGGTGTCAGCATGAATCCATCTAAGGAACCACCAGTCCAGGAGCCCAGCACCATAAGCACACAAACCCTGGGATTCATAATTATAGAGTACCGCAGAGGGTTGCACACAGCCACGTACCTGTCATATGCCATGAGGCCCAGCAGGAAGAATTCCCCCCCCATCAGGGTCAGGTAGAGAAATATTTGCAGTGCACATCCCAGAAAGGAAATGGTCTTTTCTTTGGACAGGAGGTCATGGAGCATCTTGGGGACAGTGATACAGATGTAGACAGTATCCATGATGGACAACTGGCTGAGCAAGAAGTACATGGGGGTGTGGAGATGAGAGTCCACACGAATGAGCATAATCATGACCAAGTTCAATGTGACAGCCACTACAAAGATGGAAAAGACCACTGCAAAGACCAACCCGGGGAATGCCGGATGGGTGATGAGGCCCAAGAGGATGAAGTCAGTGGAGTTCTGGCGAATCACCGCCATGTTCACAGTGCATGACGCCTCTTTGGGCTGTAAAGGCAGAAAGTTGGTGAGTCAGCCAATTACCCCATGTCTTTGAAGCACTCACTATGAATAGTATGTCCAGAGCAATACAGGACGAAGGAAAGAGGATTAACTTCAGAACCCTCTTAACTATTGGCTTGAACATTGAAAAGACATTACACAAATTAATATTGAAAGTCAAGTTCATTGTTATTGAAGGAGCTTCACGAATTTAAACTCTGTGTGTTGGAGAAGAGAAATCAATGTAAATGTGTATACAGTACTCCTTTTAGTTTTTAAAACCATTTATGTTTTGAATCATCTTGTACATACTTTCTGTAATCATATCACTCCTCATTGAGTTTTCCCTGCAGTTG